TTCCCCCTCCCCTCTCCCTTCTCCCAGACCTGAGCCCCCTCCTGCGCTCTGCTCCCCTTCTACCCCACTAACCCAGACCTGACCCCCTCCCATGGGCAGCAGCCTCTCCCAGTCTCCAAACCCCTGCATGAGCACAGAGCCCCACCCTGCACCCCAAACCCTTCTTCCCCAGCCCTGCCCAGACCTTGCCCCCCAGCTGAGCCTTTACCCCTCCTACTCTCTGAACCCCTCATTTCTAGCCCCAGCCCAGGGGAAGTTAGTGAGGGGGGTGAGATTGAGTGACAAAGGGGATCTGGAACAAGAGGGGGCGGGGCTTCAGAGAAGGGGCGGGGCAGGGGCTGGCTGGCAGGCAGGGCTGGTCGGGTTCGTGCAATTAGACAGAACGGCAGGGTTTCACTGAGCGGGGCCTGCAACGTGGCTGTTGGTGAGCAAGTGGCTGGCGAGGGAAAGCTGCGGGTTTTGCTGGCTGGCAGAGGATATGTGGGACTCCTGGCACTTGGGGACAGTTTGGGTTTGTGCAATAAATCATAATAGTTGGGGCTTCACTATTAGTGAAGTTGCAACATGCTCGGCTGTGAATGGATAAATAATGAATTGAACTCAGCACCCCTGAAAAAGCAGGCCTGGAACAGGTACAGGGCAGGATTTACTCTAAATAATGCGACTAGCTCCAAGGTTTGTACCATTATTCAGACTTTGATCTGCAAACATGTCAGAGGAAATACGGACCTTTTCATTGATACCCACAGTTCTACTGCAGGCAACTTTAATATCATGAACACACACCAGCGACAGGATGCATTAATCCCCATTTAACAAGAACCAGTGTGACAGAGAATTCAGATACAATAACCTCACTGCTTCAAAATCACGGAGATTTTACAAAATTAAGAAGAATAAGTTACATTTAGAACAAATATGACCATTTTTGTACACGGCTTGTACCCCATGAAAACAACTCTGATGTGACGGAGGCTGGGCATTTCGGTTTTAGTTCGGTGCATCTCGAGGAGCGTCTCCAGGCTTTTCATACGTTTAAAAGACAGAAGCGCAGCGGCGGTGGGGAGGTACCAGGAGTGAGCCAGGAATCAGCTGTCCCAGATCACTCCTGGACTCTCCCGCAGCGCATCTACTTGTTAAATCTACTAAGGGCCTTGCAGCTCTTAATACATATCAGCTGTGTCTACACTGGCCACTTATTCCGGAAAATCAGCCGCTTTTCCGGAATAACTTGCCAGCTGTCTACACTGGCCCCTTGAATTTCTGGAAAAGCGCTGACGCTCTACTGTAAGAAATCAGCCGCTTTTCCGGAAATACTATGCTGCTCCCGTTCGGGCAAAAGTCCTTTTCCCGAAAAACTGTTCCGGAAAAAGGCCAGTGTAGACAGCACAGTAGGGTTTTCCGCAAAAAAGCCCCGATCGCGAAAATGACAATCGGGGCTTTTTTGCGGAAAAGCGCGTCTACAAAGCATGTTTACATTGGCCATGGACGCTTTTCCGGAAAAAGTGCTTTTCAGGAAAAGCATCCTGCCAATGTAGACATGCTTTTTCCAGAAATACTTATAACGGAAAACTTCCGTTTTAAGCATTTCCGGAAAATCATGCTGGTGTAGACGTAGCCTTAAAATGCAGAACTGCGGTGGGGTTAGTGCCTGGCAGGGAGCTGACAGCGCTGCGTCTTTGTGTTTCCCTCATTTCCGGAAAAAGTGCTTTTCAGGAAAAGCATCCTGCCAATGTAGACATGCTTTTTCCAGAAATACTTATAACGGAAAACTTCCGTTTTAAGCATTTCCGGAAAATCATGCTGGTGTAGACGTAGCCTTAAAATGCAGAACTGCGGTGGGGTTAGTGCCTGGCAGGGAGCTGACAGCGCTGCGTCTTTGTGTTTCCCTCATCGAGCCCCTTGGGAGCCCCAGCCATAGGGCTGTGGCCAGAGCATCTCTCCCCCGCCAGCCCTCTCTGTGTGGGACTGGGGTGGGGCTGGGTGGCAGAGTCCTCCAGGGTCATAGAGATGAGGGGTGAGAGGAGCCCGTTTCATAGGGGCAGAGGAGGCACCTCAAGGGCACAGGAAGAGCTGCCAGGGTGAGTGCAAAGGGAAAGCCTTCATCCCACCCAGCACAACGCATCCCACACAGAGGAAGAAGGGGCGGATTCTCTCCCCGGCGAAAGGGGCCGGCGGGAACGTGAAGATCGATTCCCCGCTACCAGCATCGTAAAGTGCCACACGCCCCCCTTCATAGTCCAGATACACCCGGACCCTGCGGGGTGCCCCATTCACGGGCAAGTCGATGAGCTGCCCAGGGGCAGTCAGAGCCCAGCACCGATCCCCTTGGCCCTGCACAGCCCAGACCCCCTGCTCAGGGCTAAAGCCAACCCCTCCCTTCCTGCTCACAGACTCCCTGGCCACCCCCATCCCCTAACTCCACCTCCACCTCCCAGTAATGGCAGCCTGAGGTGAAGCCCTCCCGGCCCAGCACACAGCGCTCAGTGTCGAATCTCTCCGGGGTGTCGGGCACTCGCTGCTGTCTGTGTTCACACCTCACACGTCGCCGATCCTCCGACAGGACGAGCAAGGGATGGGCCGTGTCTGGATCCAGAGTCACGTTGGCTGGGGAGAGAGAATCCGAGCGTGAGGGGCAGAGCCCGGCCCTGGGGAGGGTCCGATCCTGCCCGGGACAGAACCTGCCCCAGCTGGGGAGTGACTCAGGCATCTCCCCCCTCCAGGCTTCCCCCCGCTCTGTCCGGAGAGCAGCCGGGGGACTCACCCAGACCAGGGACAGGGGCAGGATCGGCTCTGCTGAGCCAGGCCCCCACCCCACAGTCTGACTGGCAGACTCACAGCCCCTCCATTCCTGGGCCTGGGGGAGAGACAGGTGCAGGGGGCGGGGGGCCGGAGGGAAGTGATTTGAAGCCTCCTTTGTCCTCCCTTTATTCCCCCTGACCCCGGGTGTGACGTACAGGGGCTCAGGGCAGAGCAGAGAGCAGCCCTAGTGCAGGGCACCCGGCCTGGCCCCAGCCCACTGCTGCACCAGCCGCTGGGAACAGGATCCCTGCAGCGCCCGGACGCCCAGGGCACTGACTGGGGGGCTCCCCGGGGTAGGAACCACTTTCTCTGCTCTGTTCCCAGGCACGTTAAGGCCCCTTTGCAGCAAACAAGGACCTGACAGTCAGGCCCAGGGCTTCTTCCCCACCTGCCCCCATCCCGCCACCCAGACGTGAGCAGAGACCCTGGCACCGTGGGAAGATCCCGGCTGGTCACTGAGAATCCAAAGTCCCCTTCTGCAATGAGACCCATTTTCACAGGCCCCTCCCCGTGCCCAGCCCCTCCCTCCTAAAGACCAGAGCTAGCGGGGAACAGAAACACGGCTCCCCCAGAGCCAGCGCTGGCCTCCGTGCCTGGGGAGCTGAGGAGGGCACCGCGCACTTACTGTAGATCAGCTCATCTCATGCCGCTCTATTGGGGACTTTCCAGGCTCCTGACTGGCTAACACAGTCTTACCAGCTTCAGGAGCTCAAATCTCATGAGATCTGTAAAATGTCATGGGTTTTGGGCCAAAGGCCCATACTGTGGGTTTTCGATTTTGAACAGCCCCTCCCCAGGGCTCCACAGGGTGCGGGCGTGTGACAATTGGCCTGGCTTTGCATTCCTACCCATTTGCAGCAGGGGCTCTGACTCCCACATCTGCCCGTCTGCTGCCCAGCAATCCACTCTACCCCCAGAACCGCCTCTGCTCCACCCCCATCTGATCCTCCAGTCCTCAGCATCACCCCCCATCAGTTCTCCACCCCCTCCCTGCGTTTACCCTGCAAGCACTCGCCCTATTAGCCCTCCCCTTCACTTCAGGCCCTCTGCAGCCCCCAGGCCATAATAAATCCCCCAGCATCACCTCTGCGCCTCTGGTCCCCAGGCCGGGAGGGATACAGCAGGTCCCCTCGCCCACTTCCCAGGCTGGCAGGAGAGCAGCAACATTTGGTGGCTGCTAGCGGGAGCCCCAGTGTCCCTCTCAGATTTCCCAGCCAGGAGTGGAGGGAGGTTTGTCCATACGGAGGCAGGCGCGCTTGTTCCCAAGTTAGTCACAAATATTTTAAAAAATGCGAGGGAAGGAAGAATAACTGAACCAAGGGCTGAGCAACAAGGTGTGTGACTGTAAATGTGTGTTCAACATGAAGGCAAATAGACGTAGCCATAGGGGCCGTGTCTAGACTTAGGGGTTTTTTCGGGAAAAGTAGCCTTTTCCCGAAAAAACTTCCCCTGCGTCCAGACTCAAGCCGCGTTCTTTCGAAATTATTTCGAAAGAACGCGGCTTTTCTTTCGATGGCGGTAAACCTCGTTTCACGAGGAAGAACGCCTTCCTTCGAAAGTTCCTCTTTCGAAGGAAGGCGTTCTTCAATGTAAAGAGGCCGTCTTCGAAAGAGAGCATCCAGACTCGCTGGGTGCTCTCTTTCGAAAAAGCGGATTTCTCTTTCGAAAGAAGCCTGCAGTCTAGACATAGCCAGGGTGTTCAGCTCCCATCTAACACAAAAGTGAAAGAGAATCTGAGTTGTGGTGCTGCTGATGAGCCACCCTACTTCACAGGAAAGTTTTCACTCCCCCTTTGAGCCCAGAAATTTACCTTTGTGGAAGAGCAGTCTAGACGCCAGCGTGTCTAAAGGAAGAAACGAGCGACAAAGATTCAGTGTCGTGTTGATGAACAGTCACGTTGTTAATGTTCTAGCACAAAAGTGAAATGAAAATAAAACAAACTGCACTAAGTTACTAGCACACTTACCTGGCACTGCTCAGCTCCTTAAGGGGGTTGGGGGAGGTGCTATAGCCAGGGGGCAGTGAGCAGGTATGTGTGTGTCTGGGGGATATGTCTTTTTTTTTAATGAAAAACTTCACTTATGTCCACACTACTATTGTGTTCTTTCAACAGAAAGTCGAAAGAACGCAGAGTTTTTTCAGACATCGGAAAATCTCTTTCTACGAGGAAGAAGCCTTTTTCCACACGAGCTCTTTCGGAAAAAGGGGTGTGTGGAGGGGAAGGAGGGTTTTTTTTTTCAAAAGAAGAGGCCTCTAAGAAATAACACAGGTGCCCTGGTGGCCACTCCGTCCACAGTAAACACAGCTGAAATGCGAGAGAGAGTCCAATCAGTGTGGACTCTCCTGTTGAAAAAAGCAGATCGCTGTGTGGACACTCTCTTTCGAAAGACGCTTTTCCAGAAAATCTCTTCTGGAAACGCTTCGTCTAAAAGAAGCCTGCAGTCTAGACACAGCCTTTGTGTGGGCAGGGAGGCCACAGAGAGTCCCACCAGGGCTGCTTGTTCTTCTCCTTCCCGTCCCCGTCAGGGAGCGAGAGCGAAGTGCACAGCTTGTCTGCCCCCTGCGCTCCTCAGCCAGAGCGAGGAATGCACTTTCCCCTGGCTCCCTGATGAAGGGAAACAGCCAGCAACGCTTCTGTATGATGGGGGGCGAGTACCATGTGGAGGGGAGGGGGTCAGCTTCAGGCTCCCACTGTCCTTAAAGGGCACCTGGGCTGGAGGAAGGCTTGGAGCTGGGGCAGTTGCTGATGGGGGGGGGGGGGGGTGCCCCCTGCAAACCCCTTTCACCTCTAATATTTTCCAGCCATTTGCGAATTTCTTCAATCCATGTGCAGAATAATTTTTTACATGCACTGAGACATGTGTCAATGTGCACCACCAGCAGAAAAACACTAGCTGTGGTCACTCTGCTCATCAGCTGGGTAGCATTGGAAACTCTCTCCTGAGCAGCCGCAGAGGCACCCAGCTAGCAGGGAACACTGGCGTGAGGTACAAAGTATGGGGACCACTGGCTTTGAGCAACCCCCTTATACAAACTGTTCCAGTGCCACTGCCGCCGCATGGCTGAAGCCACGAGCACCAGCTTTGCTTCCTGCAGGGGGAGACCCCAAACCTCCCTGCCTTTTCCCACCTCCCCCACTCTTCCCATGGGTGAGCCACTCAGGACATGGATTTTGTCTTTGGGACAACTGCCCATGACAGGAAAAACATTCTCCACCCTGCTCCGAAGCAAGAGAGGGGCTGTGACCCAGCAGGCCAGGCAGACAAAACTCCAAACACACACACTTCAAAAGCATGAAGTTCAGCAAGAAGCTCAGGCAAAGGTCAGTGATCATACCTGCTAAGAAAGGAAAACCCCCCGGGAGTCAGAGTTCAGTCCCCTCACCCAGTGCGTAGGTGTTGTATTGTGAGCTGAGTAGCGAATTCACAGTCAACAAATCACTTAGAACCCATCTCCAGTCACAATTACATTCCCTCGCTCTGTCAATTATCAGTGTGATACAGGTGAGAAAATTCCCAATTTGGAGCCCTTCTCCAGTCACAATTACGTTCCCTCGCTCTGTCAATTATCAGTGTGATACAGGTGAGAAAATTCCCAAAGGGACAGTTCGGTACCTTTGAATTTCTTCATTAGGACTTCCAGGGATGCAGCTTTTTGAGAAGATTCACAGAGTCTCCATTTCAGATCAGAAGAAAAGGCCGCAGGGTTCTGAAACGGCTTCCTCTCGCACCTGCAGAAGAACAGCCTAGGGTTACATGCGATGGAGTTCATCCCGATGTGTGTCTTACTAAAATGAATTTTACCGCAGCGAACGGCTGCAGCTCAGCAGACTGTGGAGGATTAAATGCTTCGTTGCCCCATACGTGTGCACTAGGGATGTTAAAGACTAGTTGACTATCCTGATTTTGCCTTGAGACACTAGGGCAGGGGTGGGGGAAATGCCTATATCCTGGGAATGCCTTGAGACACTAGGGCAGGGGTGGGGGAATGCCTTGAGACACTAGGGCAGGGGCGGGGGAATGCCTTGAGACACTAGGGCAGGGGCGGGGGAATCCTTTTGGGGTGGGGGCCACTGACCCACAGTAAGATGAGTTGGGGCCACACAGAAGTGAGAAGAAAACTAACCCCCCACCCTCACTAAGACACCTCACTCCCCTCGCGCTCCAATCCCAGGCCAGGTTAACTCTTTTGGGGTCCTGGAGCTAGTAGATTTTAAAGGCCTCCCTAGGCTCCGGGGTGGGGCCAATAATGAAGGGTTCAGTGTGCAGGAGGGGGGTGTGCGGGAGTGGGGTGGGGGTGCAGGATCTGGGCAAGTGGGAAGGT